ATCTAGTAAGATTCAACCTGCCCTCCGAGCTTACTGAGAAGGCAAGATAGCCACACTATCAGTTAGAGTTGGATTGGGTTAGGGGTGTACGTAGGTCGGACGGCTACGCTATTCCAGTGAACTCGGATGATTCGAGACTATTTGTCGAAAAGTATGATAAAGCACTTTTTGTTGATCACAAAATCTACGAAGCTGGACTTATAGCAAATAAAGCGGCCCGTATTTATCTTAACCGGAAATTTTCAAGCCACCTTCCATTCATGTGACATGTTAGTGTGTTTCTATAATATCCCGTTGACAATAATGAATGGTAAGTTTCGAGATCCATTTATGGACAAATACTATACGTATATTTTATCCTATAATTGATAAGTAGCTAAACTATTCATATTCATCTTCCTTTTATCATAAGCTATATTTTGATCCATAGACTATTATCATACGATTTACCATTCTTGAGTTATGCCCTGTCTTTTAATTACTATCTCCCTCAATCACAGCCACATTTCGCTAATTCTTGTACAAATGTTGTTTTATATTTTATTGGTACGTTGTGGTCTGTTTGATTGGTATATAAACTCAGTATGTTTGAAATAAATGATTCATATCTCAGGGAGTGGACTTAACAGGCTGGGCTAGGTGGGAAGCAGGACCGATAAGGACTCTTGACTGCTCGTACGGGTTTTATGCGTCATTGGTTCGATCGATATTTCACTGTTCTCTAGTTGGCGGTATCATTAGGTTATGCATTAATAATACACGGGGCACAAGTTACAACAATTGGCAACGGGGTGAAAAAAATTCAGAACCCTCAATCTTCAAAATAAATAATCAAGGTCAGCCTGTAACTGGACGAAATTCAGTGTAATTATTCCGAATAATCAACATACACATTTTTCTTCGGTGTCCTTGAACGACATTGGTTGGTTGGCTGTGTTTTCTATTACTGTGGTGATTCATACAGAAACAGAAAATGGATATCTCTCCCGACCAATTGCAGTTGCCATTTGAGCGACAACAGCAGCGTTTCAAAAAGAGCTAATTAAACTTTATAGACAATTTAGACACACGACTGTTGAATCCCCCATGCTTTAAAGATGTGACGGAAGTTGATGAATTAATTTCCAATTTGCGTACAGAGCTAGAAAATGACTGCAGAACGTACAAACGTGTCGATGAAAGCCTCCATGAATCCTTGACAAGCAGTAAAGTAAACGAAGCATTTTATAAAAATGAGGAAAATATGTCAGATGCATCAAATGATAATCAAGAACCTAATGGAATTTTGACGGATGCTGATTATCATGGATACCCACTGTCTAATAATGAGACTCTCAATAAATATGAGGAAGCTGTTTCAGAAGAATCAAACCTTGATGACCTCATATCAAGCGTCCTTGATCCTCACCATTTAGTCACTTTCCGTAGATTCTCCGTTCAACGTGACAAATATGTTTTAAATAAAGTCAAATTATTGAGAATCCAACACTAATTCGTACCTGACAATATACCATCTGGGGCACTGAAGTCAGGTACCGAACTAACTACAAACATGCTTCACCTTCTATTCAAGAAGATTTGGGAAGAGGAACAAGTCCCGATGGACTGGAAAGAATGACACCTCATCAATATACCAAAGAAAGATTTCAGCAAGTGTAAGAACTACAGAGGAATTACACTACTGTCACTACCATGAAAAGTATTTCACAGAGTGTTACTGAACCAGATGAAATACGCAGTAGACGTGCAACGTCGAGATCAACTGTCTGGATTCCGTAAGGATCGGTCGAGCCAGACAAAATTGCAACACTACGGATTATTGATGAACAACCAGTTGAATAAAACTCGTCACTATACATCAACTTCATTGACTATGAGAAGGCGTTTGACAGTGCGGACAGGAGAGCATTATGGAGCCTTCTTCGACACTATAGTGTACGTGAGAAGATCGTCAACACCATCTGAAATTCATAAAACGGAATGCAGTGCAAAGTGGTGCATGAGGAACAGCTGACAGACGCATTACAAGTAAGGACGAGTTTCAGACAAGATTGCTTACTTTATCCCTTCCTCTTTCTTCTGCTAGTCGACTGGATTATGAAAACCTCGAGGCAGACGTAAAGGTGAGGATTGGCAAAGCAAGGGTCGCATTCCTACAATTCAAGAACATATGTAACTCAAGACAACTGTCAGTCAATGCAAGTCAGAATCTTCAATGCTAACGTCAAGACAGTTCCATTTTACGGAACTGAAACATGGCGAACTGCTACAATCATCATCAAAAGAGTACAAGTATTTATAAACAGTTGTGTGAGCGAGATACTCAATATCCGTTGGCCAGACAATCATCAGCAACTCCCTACTGTGAGAGAGGACAAACCAACCTCCAGCTGAAGAAGAAATTAGGGAAAGACGTTGGAAGTGGATAGGATATACATTACGGAAATCATCAAGCTGCATCACGAGGCAAGCGCTAACTTGGAACCGTGAAGGGAAAAGGGGAAGAGGAAGGTCGAAGAACACACTACGCCGGGAATCAGAAGCAGACATGGAAAGGATTGACCAAGAGAAGGCTGGATAGAAAGTGCTGGTAGGCAGCCTATGCTCCTCTACGAGGAGTAACAGACGATGATGATGATGAAGTTAATGTTGGTGACAGGTCGTTTATTTTTCATAGAATCAAGGAGTGGTAACGCTCAGAAACTAAAACTCGTTCTGAGCTCGATGTTAAGTTGATCAAAGATCTACTAAATGAGCTAATGCCTCAGGATATCTCCAGAGTCACCTTGATAAATTTGTTTAGACTAGATACCTAAATGAACTTCAAACGGGATCGGATCAGGATGCTTAATGTAATATTTCAATCTCCCAATGAACGGAACTTAATACTACGGAATGGACACAAACTTAATGGGCAAGAAGTTTTTGTCCGTAAAGATTTGCTGTTCGTAGACGGTGTGCAAAGGCGAGAGGCCGAAAAGCAACTAAAACTTGGGTTAGATGCTAACGAAAAAGATCTGTATTTTCGGTTTGTATGGCCTCAACAGGGAATGATGCCGAAGCCGCTTTGGGTGCAGCATGGAGACTTTTAATTAAGCTTTGAACCTGATATACGAATACCATAAGCTTGTTGAACAAACGAATGGAACTAGATGTACCAAGCTGAATGTAATGGCAGTCACCGAAACTTGGTTGACGCAGCCCACAGACAGTATAGAATTTGATTTTGGAGGTCACACGTTAATAAGAGCCGACAGAATCCGGAAACATAAAGGAGGAGTAATTCTATTTATCAGAATTACTATCCCGTTTGCCATTAGTGACAGTGTATCCCATGAGAGTGAATTAGCTAGTTGCCGCTTAAAATGCAAGGGACAAAAGATGCTGAGCTGTGAGGTAAATGAGGTTTTGTTAAATGGTCTCAACACTTAGTCATATAGTGGTCGATGTCTAATCCTAGAAGACTGTAACGCACCCACAATGGACTGGAAAAACCTAAGCACTGAATTGTTAAAAAATACTTTCGAACAGGAATTATCTGATGCGATTATCGCATGTGCCCTAGTGCAACATGTGAAAGAAGCGACTATGTAAGACCCGAACTTTGAATCCTCCTTACTACATATTATACTGATCCATTATGAGGATGACGTCACAAAACTTGAATACATGCCACTCTCAGGTAGATATGATCATAAAGTTCTAATCTTTGATTTTCATACAGCTGTCAAACACGGACAGGCGTCGGCCAAACTCGGACTTAACGTCCAAAAAGAAAATACAGAACATTTTATGCACTTGACATCGTCAGTAGATTGAACGATAGAGCCGAAGACCCAGTTGTATTTCGAAATATGTGCTTAAAAGTAATTGCACCCCACATCACTTGAACAGCACCAAGTGGTCCAAGAAACTCTCCACCATCGTTCAGTAGGGAAGTTCTCGCCCTTCTGTGTAGGAGAAGAATGCAAGGAAGATTTCAGTTACTGGGTGCTGATGAGACAAAATCTCAATGTCGTGAAGCTAGGAATATTCGTGGCTCGACCCTCCGTGAGTCTTGAAGGCTAAACGGAGAAAAAATTGTTAAAGAATCTATAGAATGCCTAGACGCTTGTAGTCGTATATAGACCAAATGACTAAGAGAAGAAGAAATATCCCATCACTGTGGGGCGAGAGCAATGCTTCATCTTTAGTGGGGGACGACTATGGTAAAGCTCAAATATTATCAAACTACCTTAGCAATGTGTAAACCGAAGGGATACACCGCTATTCGTACAAATCCGCACACAAATACACTGGACAATGTGGCCATTAAATAACTCGATGTCTTTGTCTGCTAAATAAACTTAATATAGGCAAAACCACGAGACCCGATGCAATGCACCCCAGGTTACTGAAGGAACTAACAAATTTCGTTACGAACCCCTGGAGTATATGTTTTAATCTATTCGCAACGCAAGATCGATTACCAAAAGACTGGAAGAACGCCATGTTAAGTCCTGTCTTCAAAACAGGTACGAAACACATACCTCAGAACCACCGACCAGTTGACCTGACTAGCGTGGTTTTTAAAATTCTAGAAAGGATTATTTAGAAGGAGTTGTTTAAGTATCTCGATGAAAACCAAATTCTTTCTGAAAAGTAGCACGGCTTCAGAATACATTATTCCTATCTCATTGACTTATTAGTAGCACTTGAAAGTTGGTGCCCTCTGAAAAACAAAAAATTACCAACAGACTTTGGGTTAACTGAGCTAATACCACTTCCAGGACTAACACAGGCTATGTAACCTGCTGTCCTTTTCGAACTGAAAATGATTATTCATACAGTGTGCATTTTAGTCTCGATATATCAAGTTTAAAACCTGAATATCCACCAAAAAAATCAGGGTTTTGTCCAATGCATCATGAGTATGTCTATTATCTATGCTAAAGACCAAATTGCTTGATGTTATAGGCACTGATAGTGGGAACTGGTTTGTTTGACTACACCACCACAGGGTCGTACTTATGGACATCAAGGTTAACATCGATGGAGTACTTAGAGAAGTGTGTGGAGTTAATGAAGGAACAACATGTGAAGAAGTGATTTTCAAGCTTGCACAAATTGCTAGTTTGCCTGGATTCTATACTCTGGTTGCCAGCTGCAGAGATAAAGAAATTACACTATCTCCAGAAGAAAAAATTATAAATTTCATTAAAGAGTATGATAATTTATCTAGTTAAAGACTAATCATTTAAAGCACAAATAAGTTAACCGTGGTGCTGATTTTGACTTTAGTTTATATGTGTTCAAGGTAGCATATTTGGTTTTCATCAGTACTTTAAAGTAAGCCTAGTAATGTGCTCAGTACCGTAACCTACAAATGAGCTTACATAAGATATTACTGTTTTCTAACAGTAATATTTCTTGTGAACCTGAAAATTTATCAGGAAGTGAACTTGTTTCTCTTCTGCATCTTTTTAGAAAACCGAGTAGTAGATTTTAGACATATTACTGTCGTCACTTCATATCTCCATACCTTTATTAACTCAACTAATCAACCCTCGAACAACAGTCATAATTCGTATCCTGGTGTATGGAATTATTTCGGTTCATTCTTCATCTTTTGTAGGTCTCCCTGGTAAACAACATTTGTTACTGAATTTTTCCAGAAACTTGGGAGATCTCGGCAATCAACTTCTATTTATATTCAATGGCACGCACTCAATACAATCTGTTGTAAATTTCTACTCCAATGAATTTGATTGCCTTACATTCCCCCTACCATATTAGATTCTACTGTGTCTCTGAAATCGTTACACGAATGCATCTTGAAAAACCGAAATAATTCCATACACCAGGATACGAATTATGACTGTTGTTCGAGGGTTGATTAGTTGAGTTAATAAAGGTATGGAGATATGAAGTGACCAACTTCTGATCTATGTCTCAGCTTTTCCGTTCTATCAAATACAAGTTAGTAAAGTCTAATAGTTGGTGGAACAAGCAACTAAAAGGAGTAAATTGTGATTAAATCTCCATGCATTGCTAACAATCCAAGTAATGCATTTCTCAGAAAACCAGATAACACGAGTAGAATTATCCAACTTTGTTCTTCTAGAGGGAATTTCTTAAAAATTTCAGTTCCACTAAGGGAGGTTTGACGGAATATATTTTTGAAGATTGATATACGCAATTAAATCAGTTATGACTCATTATAACTTTGGACTATGTTGAAAAAAATTATTCGGCGATGACTGAGTGTCTTGGTGTCTGTTTGTCGACGGCTGAGTTTCAAGTACATGAAACCGTTTAACGAATACATCTAGTTATTATTAGTACTGACAAAATTTTCATTTTGTCAATTTTTACGACTGAATCACACTTGATACTATTATATCATAGCTTTATTTTTCAATTTTCTGTGCTGAGAACCTTTTTCGTAACCATCGTGTTGACAATTTCCAGTCAAACAAATACGTTTGAATGAAGAACGTTTTTGGTGCCTTGATTGTAATTCCTTAAATGTTCATAATTTAGTCCCATTTGATACAGTATAAGATGTTTTTCAAGAACCCCATCTGTAAGTGCTTTTTCTATCTACACGAGATAATGAGTAGCTTTTTAATTGATAACGTACCCCGACAGATATATTTTTTGTAGTAGATAGCTTACATACCTTGGCATGAGCCGAAATTCAAGTGTAATGGCTATTAAGACGACCCACTGATGGCTCCTCGTGAACTCATCCCATTAGGCTCTGAACACGATGAAGAGCGAAAACAAATCAGATCTGGGTAAACCAAAAGCCTAAGGAACGACCCTGATCAGTGGTGGGCAACGAAAGCAAGAGATGGAAAAGGCGCCGAGTGTAGGTAACACAAGACAGCTCTACAGATATAAAGGAAACTGGAATTAATAAGTCAAGTGTGAGACTATCGTGGAAAGAGATGGCACTCTTTTCTGCTCCCAGTCCAGAACAATAGGCGGAACATTTTAAGAAGCAATTAAGCTGGCCTTCATCTTCTCTAAAACTACCCATCATTCCCAGACAGCGTGAATGGAACATTAAGGTAGGTTCCCCAAATCTGTCTGAAGTTCAGGAGGCTATGGCTAATCTGAAACGAGGAAAAGCAGCTGGTCCAGATGGATTGGCTCCAGAGGTCTTTAACTATGGTGTTCCAATTTTAGCGATTGGGTTGACTAATATTTTAGCTAAAATCTGGGAGTTGGACGTAATCTCATCTGACTGGTGACAATCACTGATTGTCCCAATATATAAGGAAGGGTCAAAATCATCCTGTGATAGCCATAGAGGGATTAGTTTGACTAACAGCATCTAAAATACTATCCTCAATAATTATCGGATGCTTAACGAAAACTCATGAACTGCGAACGCGAGAAAATCAAACTGGCTTCAGACCTGGTCGTGATTGCATCGACCACATATTCACCATTCGTAAGGTTTTAGAACAAAGGCATACTCATCGGCGTCCTTTAATGATAGTTTTTCTTGGCTTAAAAGCAGCATTTGACTTCGCTCTCGTCGATTGAATTTTCAGGAATTGATATCCTTCCAGGAGGTCCACTTATCGACTTAGAATGCGCAGATGACATAGTCCCGTTTAGTGAAGACGCTGATAAAATGCATATATGTGCCTGGTTCTACGTTGTAGGTGACTGACTGAAACACTGCTTTGTTCTATGCCGAATCGAATCAATAATCGATGGTCCCATCTAGTTACCCTACATTTTCAGTGAAATTAGCCTCAACCTTCCTACCTTTTTCTTCTCAAATCAGGTCTAGCACAATTATCCTCCTATATGTTTAAACTTACATATGTCAATAAACTTCATTGAATCATTTGTCCTCATTAACTGAAACTTTGCACTGAACAATATCTATTTAGACGTTATACCATGCGCTATAAATGGTACGGGGGCGTGTATACACGAATACACTCAACAGACCCACAGTGCGGGCAAACGCGAAGTGATAACCACCACCTTTCTTTCTACGAACTGATTATTTCTCTCTGTATCATATTTTTATATGCAATCTTTGTTTTATATATTAGTGTCATTTAAGTATCTGCTTCTGTAAATTTGGTGTTCATCGTGTTGTGCTAATGAGGTATGGCAGGTTGGACCGATGCATATATGTGCCTTGTCCCACGTTGTAGCTGACTGACTTGAGCCCGGAACTTAGTTGTTGGCAATCGAATATCACAACCTTTTAATCATCGCTTCTCAACATCTGCGTTTACGCTTATATATTTTGTCCTATTTACCGATTCAAAAAGTAATGGAGTCTCCTAGTGTTGCCTCTGTTGTTAGTTTTATGAGTTAAATCAAAGTCATGTTCTGCTAAGCCTCATTTTATTCTATTTGCTTATGTATCTGGATTACAAGTTTCTCACAATAATCAATATTGTCCTGTAGTGTAGAAACGCTAATTAGCTTCTGACAATATTCACCACTGCATAAGCGGAATATTTACAAATTTTTCATTGAAGTTTTTTTAACCACGAGACTAACTAAAATTAGTATAACTCACTGGCCAAGTTCAGTTTCATGCACTGAGTTTTGAGTTACAGTTATTTTGTTTAGAGATTATAAATACCGTCGGATTTCAATGCTAGAGCACGTTTTCAGCTAATGATGGGAGCCTGGAACAAGCGCGATCCCATCCACTCATGTTCGGGTTCGTGCGATAACCGTGACCTGTGGTGCCCCCAAATGCCGTGATTGGTTGAACAATTTAGATGACATGTTTTGGAATCTTTCGTAACAGTGCAGATTTACCCACTCTATCTTCCCCTCGATTTCCAATTCCAGTATTTCTTCATACATACCTTTTCATTCGGTCTTTTTGTTACGAAGGTTTGCCGATTTTATTAGAAGAAATTTTCGTTTGTCAAAATCGATGAATAGAATTCTAATCAATAGATTAACCCAATATTTTAATGTGACCGAGTGATGACTACTCATGGAACCGTGTTATTAGAAATCAAAGACCATTAACCTGATGGGATAGTTTTTTCATCTAATAAGATAACACGCTTATATACAAAATATAAACAGGACCAAATGTCATAAGTGATCGGATAGATCTGACTTGTAGTTCAGTCGTTTTCATATCAACAAGGGCCTGATTTTTAGGCTGAATCAACAGAGTATCGTACTACTTTTCAAAGCATAATCTCAATGCTCAGTCTTTCTTTATGTCATCGCTACCATACTATTTCGATTTCTTTTGTTATTGCTATCTCGTCATCGTGATGTAGTATGGCGAATTGAGACAGTACACAACCCTACTAGACTCTATGTTGATGACTATTGGCAGTCCACAGTCTATTTGACTCATCAAAGTCAATATTTTAAACCTGAGCCATTTCCTTCTATAAAATTGATACTGGTGTATTCTGTGCCACTGTGAGTTTGTTTTAAAAATTTTCAGAACTAAAGAAAATCCATCTAACATATGTTTTATTCTTCGTCGATTGGAGGCTGTATCTCCTTTCTCTCCGAAAATCCCCAAAGCATATCCTCCTATTCCCAATCATCAACCGACAAGTCGTCCTCATCAACAGCCATCTCGTAGTTCATCACGACGTTCTAATGTTCCAGTGACATCTGAAAATAAAGAATTATATTCCTCTACTTCATCATCCTTACCGATTCCAGCTCAACAATATGCTAGCTCTGCAAAGCAATCAAGAATTTATCGTTGTGATCCTAGTCATGAACTAATTCATTCTACATTAGTAACCAGTGCTGCTGGTGAAGAAAAATCATATCACGGTACGCTATTCATGTTGAGATGAAACTTTATAGAACTTATATTTGTTTTACTTTTTGGACAATCATATTTTATTTGAGATCATAAATCGATTGATTTTAGACCACCATGGAAAACCTGGAAGCATTGGACGACCGTCTCGTCATAGTATGAGACTCCTTAGCAGTGCGCATTCACAATCCCACACGCGGGACTCAAACCCAGGACCTTCGGTCTCGTACATGAATGCTCAACCTCGAGAAAATTGAGCCGATATCCAACGGTGTTAATGTCTAACTTCAACCAATCCACGAAATGGCACGACCATCTTTCATTGTATTGAGGTAGATACTTGTCTCTACCTGACATGAATTAGCTCCACTGGTCACAGCTTCTCACTAGAACTGCGAAAATTCCCTCACGAAACTAGTCACTAGTGAGCACATGGTAATTGCCAATATGAGGAGTCCCATACTAGGACGAAACGGCCGTCCAGAGCTTTCAGGTTTTAAATGATGATCTAACATCAATTGATTCATGACCTCAATCAAAAACGTGATAATCTCCAGAACCCCATAGCGATAATCATATTTGAGTCTGCTTCAAATTCTTCGCATTTTACTACCTACAAATCCAATCAATTCACAGTAAATCTGTCCATTAAAGTGCATCTTTTTAATATCAATTTTCAAATACATTTTCAGCCTAAGAAAAACTTAAAAACGGTCGGACACTGAAATGAATACTGTTAAGTCATATGAATGCTGGATTAGTAGTTAAGGTAACTATGTCCCAGGTTCAAGCCCCGCCTTAACTACTTCGGTTTAGAGCAACCAGTTAGTATCAATAACCCTCATACTTAGAGTGTGGTTCATGTTCAAATACCTGGCAAATAAATCTATCTATTAGTATGAGTGGATAAATATCTGCTTGTTTTCCTATATATATATATATATAATTTATGTTTTACCACTCATACTAATCTAAGTTATAGTCGATCAAAATGGTCAATAACTAGTCTTTGCATTTCTATTCGCGTACAATGTTAAAGTTCGATATTTTTCTGTTTTCGCAGGACTGGATTTTTTTTCTTTATATTATGGCATGGTTTACAAGATTCACAAAATATCCTTACATTATGTCCTCTCTTTCTACAAGTTTTATAAACTGAAGATATTGTCCTAAACGTGTATTCTCGAAGACCATATGTACTTTATGGTCACACCTTTTGTTTTAAACGTTACACTACTCATGAGTAGCTTAAAATTATTAGTAAAATTGATTCGCAGTGCTATAGATATTCCAGTGTAAGATATAGTAACTATCTAGCATGCAACAAGAGTCCTAAGCCATTGGCATGGCATATGAAAGTAAGAAAAGAGGTTCTTCAATTCTGGTCAAGCTCGCATTAATTTATTTTCATGGCATTTTGGAGAATATTCGGTATGTATGTTGTTAAGATCGACAGATGTACATAAAAATAAATAACTGTTGGTTGACATTATTTTATTTATTGTAACACATAGATATTGGTACAAGGAGGCACCAAATACATATGCGCCACACAAATCTCATTTGATGTGTGAGGGCTGTGATACTGCCCAGGTGTCTAGACCGAAACAGGTGGTTTTCTTAGGAGGCCACACCCGACCATTTGACCTAAAGGTCTAATCCACAGGGCAGTGGAGCAACGTAAAGAGATGTAGTCCCATGGTAGCCGGTGACCAACAATTGGTTGATACGCCATTTTTCCCGCAGGATACTGGAGCCAATGTGTACCATTGGTTTGGAATCAGGGTTTTCCAACTCCCCTAGGTGAACTCTTTATGTCCACCAACCCGGTTAAAGCGCCGGACACTCGTTTTTCCTCCTCTCAATTTCGTAAACAACACCCGTGGTGCGAGAAGGCAGTAAGTAGGACTTCCCTGCCAGAGGCTATATACGCGTGGCCATGTGAGAGCATTTGGAGAGGGAGAGCTGACTCTCCCCACTCTCGGCTGTACCAGGGCATTTGGGGGCCGTTGGTTGACAATTCATCACAAAGATTATGAACCGTTTCCATTTTTTTTACTAAGATGTAATTTAATTTTAATATAGATAAAGCAATGAGAAACCTTGGTGTTATAATCACATTCTTACGGTTATGACCCACCTATTCCTATCGCTTAGTATTCTCGGACACCGATTCACTCGATAAGTCCCAAATCAGAACATGGTTGAACAAGAAAAAGATTATATTCCAAATAACAATGTTAGATGGAACTAAGAGGCACAATAGGGAAAACGTTAGTATAGTTATATTTTTTACATGAGAAGATTTCAGAGTATTCTCCAAGTATCGGCTAGTGCTGATTGGATAAGGATTAGCCAATCAGCGTGCACCAAAGCAATCGTGTGTTGAGCATGCTTTAATCCAGTCTATGTCCCGATAACACTTGGCTATTCGGAAATTCAAACTCTCCCCTTTTTATGTGTATAGAAATGACGTGTCGTAATTTTGAATTTGCCCTATTAATATTTAAGCCCATTAGTGTGATAGAATGGTGTTGCGATTCCCTATTCATTCTTTATTATCTTAGTTTTCTCTTTGCTTACGATCATCACTTTATTTTTATTTGACCTTAGTCAACTTTTATAAATGCAGATTATTCGAAACGTATGAGAGAATATACATCACGTTTTAGATCACCTCTATCCTCTCATTGCTCTGTCAAAATTTATAGAAGAGATTAATTACTTTGGGTTTTGATATATGGTTTTGTGAACATATAAACTACTTTTTACGTATGCTTTCACGCTTGTTTTGGAAGATCGATTAAGAGAACGTTGTAGAGTGAGTAAAATAGTTGGATATTAATCTCAGTGATCAAGGCGTCCGGTTTTTAACAACTAAGTCCTGGTTTTGAACCCTGCCACACATATTCCTGCTTAAATAAGAAGGTAGTATAAATAGCCCTCGCACTCAGTGTGGCCCTCTCCCAAGTAGCTGGTGAGTGATTTAATACAATCTACATTGATTTATAAATAGTGATGTAAAAGGATTTTTTACATTTAACTGACAAGTCCAAAAAATAGGAAGAAATGTGCGTCCTGAATTTCACTCCAAATCACAATACCAACTGACTAAACTTTCTTAAATGTTTAAAACAACGCTTCAAAGTCAAACCAGTCAGCACAACAAGTTCAATGTGTATTAACCGTATATTGATAAAATTCATACCGTTTATCATACACTTCACTCTTGTTTCCGACTTTCAAATTTATGGGAACAGACTAGGTATGGTGTGTGGTTTGTCAGTTTTTCTTTGCGTTAAATATTTATAGTTTATAAAGATCGATACTTCAAGAAAATTTATCAAATGAGTTTTTGTTTTCTCGTTGGAAAATAAAATTCCACTATCCGCCCCTCAATCGATTTATATTCTAGGAATTATAATGTATGGCGATAAATTAAATATGCTTTAAATCATTTCATTAGTAAAAAAACAGTTTATGTAGACATCATCTGACTGATTAAAATGAAGTAAACATTGAAAATTGTATAATGTCTGAGTTTTTAAGGAAATGGACAATCGAAAAGTGTAAGTAGGTCTCTCTCTATTTACACCAACCTCCAACAGACAGAAACCATTATTGACTCTTAAATAATAAATCTATGATTCAGCACGGAGTACATAAACCTGTACTTGGTGAGGGAATTAATATTTGTATACTTTTCCACTAGTATACAAATCTTTCTGGAGGTTGTTCAATTTTGTGGTTTACGTTACGGACTGAATGTAGACAACTATTGTTGACCAGAAAGCTCTGAACAATTGTTTCATCTTAGTAAGGAACTCCTTAGAAGCTCGTATCCACGAATTCACCAGAAACCATAACTAGAATCTTCAGATCCAGCTGTAAGCGTTCAGATTTTAGACCATTGATTAGACATCTTATGGTTTATACCTCTAGTTTCAATCAACTCACGATATTGCACAACAATCCCTTAGTTACCTGAAACTCAATATGGTTAAACTCTACCAGCTACGGTTGCACACTAGGACCCTAAGAATCCCCTCTCGAAAGTTTACTAACTAGTGCATATATTTCCTAACTAACTAAATATATAGCTATTTACGATTTGTGACTGACGATTGGACGTGATGTTTGCTGACCGATCAAGATTGATAACCATGTTTTTTTTCTTTTAGATGTTGATCAATATAATCAACTTAAAGATCAATTGGCATATCAAGAACAACAAGTTGAACTCAATCGGATACGGTTGCTTCGATTAGACAAGGGTAAACATTTTGATTAAATGTATTGTTTTTTTCAAATAGTATTTTTCAACAATAACTTGAGGAGATCAACCTAGATGATGTATTCAGTGTGTATGTTTCAAACCTTAGCGATATACAAAGTGGTGTAATTCTAATTAATATAGGGTTAAGTTAATTATGATCAAGAAAACAATTTTCATCGTTTTTTTTTTGCATGAAACTCAAAAATGAATCGGTTTTGATTGAGATCATAAGTCGATCAACGTTAGAGTACCATTAAAGAACTAGAAGCACTAAACGGTCGTTTCGTCATAATACGGGGACTCCTCAGCAGTGTGTATCCGCGATCCCGCGCGAACACTTAGTCTCTAGACTACTAAGCCGGCATCCAGCAGTGTTAATGTCTAACTTCAACCAATCCACGAAATCGCACGACCATCTTCCATTGTCTTCGGTGGGTAACTGCCTCACACCCGATACGCATTAGCTCCGCTGGTCACGGATGAAGTTAGACGTTAACACCGTTAGGTGCCGGATCAATAGTCTAGAGATTAAGCGTTCGCGTGACGGATTGTGGATTTGCACTGCCGAGGAGTTCCATACTAGGACGAAACGGTCGTCCAGTGCTTCCAGGTTTTCAATGGTGGTCCAACATTGATCGATTAATGATCTTAATCAAAACTCAACAGTCTCCACAATCCTACACTGAATCAGTTTTATTTTGTGACATTCGATATTTTTGAAATACTAATGTAGTGATTGGTTGCCTAGGCTGAATGATTCTATGCCGTACACGATTGTTGCGCACTAATACTAGATAAACCACCCAAAACGATTAATCATCCCATATTTTAAAGCAATCAAGAATGTTATTACCAGCCTGAATAACATAAAGCGTTCTGTCATTAAAAATTAATATATTTACAAAAATATCTATCGCAAAATACGCATAATTATCTCTCCACACTAATTATCCGACTAAGATTATTGGATATACGTATCAACATCACATAAGAAGAAAAGCTGTAGGAGTCACGTGTGTGTATAGTGCTCAGAACATATTAAGTTATTAAGGTTTAGTGTGAGGAAATTCTTCTATATCACCGCAGAGTAAAAATGACAATGATAATAGGTAAACATGTGCACAGCAGTAGATGCCACCCCGATGGTGGTCTAGAGGTTAAGACGCACTGATGATTCGTTACATACTAGGACGAAACGGACGACCAGTGCTTTCAGGTTATCAATAATTGTATAGCTAAGACCACTTCGTGTTTTAAGCGATGAAAATGGTCAACGTGTCAAATCTTTACTGTTTTCCATGTAAATTAGACATATTACGAAAACCAATTTAATTTGTCTACATCAAATTAACTATAAATCATTTTGTTTAATGGTTCATTGAATAATATACATTTGAGCTGAATAAGCAAGTTGTAAAATTCCCAATGACTTTCACATGAAACTCCACCAGAACATATAGTCTTTTAAGTCTTCCATCTGCTTAACTGTTTTGTGAATTAATTAAAAATTTTGTAGCCGATGATGGATTCATTTGTCTTAGTTGCTTGAATCTTCTCATTGATGTTTAGGACTGAAACTGATCAATCTCCTTTTGGGATATGTGCATCATGTGCTGATTGCTTCGATATTGCATAGAAACACAAACATTTTAGGCAGAGATGGAATCAAGGGCGTGCGTTTGTCCTAGTTGGGACTTATCAGCTGGGTGTACCTGCATCCTAGAGTTGATGTTCACCATCAGACTCGAACCCAGTTATCTGACGAACTTCCTATAAAACATTTACATTTATGAGAAGGATTCATAAACAAGCCTTTAAGGTGAATATATTCATACTTGGATAGACAAGATTTATGGTAGCTATATTTCTATAATATTAAAATCGGGAAAATTTATAATATGGTTTGAGAAACTTGTTTTTAAAAAAGCTAGTATACTCCAATAAGTTTTACTATTACTGTTGCAAACTCCTTTAGATGTATACCAACTCTTTGCACACTAATTTTAAAGCAGCCTCGAAATCGTAAGACCATATTAACATCTCTGTTTTTTCATCCGTTCGTTATAGTCCCACCAAGTAGTTCCTACAGGATCGTTGATGAATGTTGAAAAGTACGAAACCTTAGTATTTTAATACCAGTTACTATTTTGATAATTAAATGACTGAACGGTTATCTTTGAAACTTTAAGCATTAAATACATTGCTTCACGATATCTTCTGCAGTCGATTGGCTCAGAAAACGCGTAACTATTCACACTATTCAAGTCAGTCAGTCAGCTACAACGTAGGAACAGGCATATATGTGCATCGGCCCAGGTTGCCATACCTCATTAGCACAGCAAGATGAACACCGGATTCATAGGAGTGGTTAGGTCAAAGGTGGTATATATATAGGAGAAAGATTGCAATAAGGATATAGTATAGGAAGAAAGAATTAGTTAGTAGAAAAAAAATATGAAATGATTGTAATTTCTTAGTTTAAGGGAAGACAGGGAGTGTATACACCTACGCCATTGTGATCGATTCTGAGCCATGTCACCAAGAGTCTCCAACCGTTAGTTACGAAAGTCGCGCGGACCTCAACCAAGTAGTCTGCATCTACCAACATGGCTCAGACTAGAAGTTAGTGACTTCAAACACTGATGCCACGTTTTGGTTTGGCCACCCATAACTTTCTTCCAACCATTTCCAATACCGGATAGCATTGCACGTCGTGGTAATCGGTGTTCAGGCATACGTAACACGTGGCCCAACCATCTCAGTCGATGATGATTCACAACCTCATCAACTGACTTACCATCATTCCCTAATACCCTGCGTCTAACCTCACTATTGCTTACCCGGTGATCCCAACAAACGCCAGCAATATTTCTAAGGCATCTGTGGTCAAATACTAGTAGCTTACGGGTGTCTTCTACTCTTAAAGGCCATATTTCGCTGCCGTAAAGTAAACCAGAACGAACTGCCGCGCAGTATACTCGTCCTTTTATTGATAGACGGATATCTCGCCTTCGCCAAAGTTGACGTAAGTTGGCAAAAGCCAAACGAGCTTTTCGAATCCGTGCTGAGATTTCGTCCGATACCAATCCATTAGGGCTGATCAGACTTCCAAGATAAGCGAAGTTGTCGACGCGTTCGACTACTTCACTCCCTATCCTTAGTTCAGGTGTTGACGCAGACCAGTCCTATTCAACAGAAGTATATCTCATTATAAATATATAACCTGAATCGTAGTTTACGACTATCCAGTGTTCGTTTTTTTCCATCCCACAACTTCCTCACATTTTTGTAGTTTTGCATCATAAATTGAGCCTATTTAGATAACCACTAAGGACTAGGGAGTATTGGACAGTCGTATCATCCTTATGACGGACCCCAACACAGGTCGAAACCTGAACTTCCAGGTCTTCCGGCGAGCACTGAAAATTGAAATTACTGATTCGGCATCCAATAGTGTACATTCTTAACTTCAATTAATTCATGATACTGCGCAACCTAATTTTAATGTTAGAGTTAAGTAAATTGTCTCATGCCTAACTTGGTTGAACTATACTAGTCACTACTTCTCACCAGAACTCCAGGAGTTATTAAGTTCACCATCCCCTACTTCCGTATATCTATCTATCACATGCATATCTTTATACTCATGAATAATGCATTCAGAATAACATGTGCATAGGATATATTTTTTCTAGTGGTGTTTTATACATATATATGTATATAATACACACCATTTATCCATGTCTATCTTGTAATATGTAAGTCAGCCTAATAGTGTAGTCTGTCATGGTTAGTCAGCGAGCTAATTAACTTCACCAGTGGTATACTAATTCTTCGTTAGCCAATCTGTGAAACTTGGTGTATAATCTGTCTCTCCTCTATATATGTAGACACATACAGTTGAACTACAAATCAAAGTGAAACCGCCTACGTAATTTCATTGTTTTTAATTCTTATTTTATAGACTATAAGGGAGTAGTAGTCTATACAAATAACAGCTAGTTAGTCATCACATTAAACATACTCTTATAAATCTAGTCATTGTTGGGGCAATAACCTTCAAAGCCTAATCTCAAGGTTATCTCATTATACTCTTTCTATTACAGCTTAATTATAAGTCAGCACAGATAAAATCCATTCTAATTGTTGACAGGTTGTTACTTGCTTGTTTGATTTTTTTTTTCTAAAAACACAAAGAAATGAATATTGGGTTTCTTTTTGCTTTTTGCTGCTTTTGCCTAAACAAGTTAGCAATGGAGAAAAGTCACTAATGAAAAATACTTGTACATTTGTTAAAGTCAAGAAATAGATGACTATTATTGTCATCAATACAATATCATTAGATAAAAAATTGTAAGCCATATATATATATATATATATATATATATATATATATATATATATATATATATATATATATATATATATATATATATATATATATATATATATATATGGCACTAACCAATGAAATCTCGTAAACGGACATTTTAGCAAATCAGTGCATTAGCAACAATGTGGAGAACACAATGTGAACATCATATATACTATGAGAGACAGAGATTTCAACTGTCGAGAAGTCATAGTTTGGTGTATTAATGATATAAAGTCTGAAAATTTTAGGATATGACTCTCAAACAAGTGGTTTTAAGGATTAGACGAAATCGTGCCGATTTTCATGCAATTACAAACTGTTGAAATAAGTCTTGTTCAAGACGTTCCATGTGTTAGCCAAGACTGATCAAATTTTAGCCAAAAATACCAACAACGGGATAATCCAAACCATTTCAAATTGGATTATATTTTCCTGTTGAGTCTAGATAAAAGTATGAGACGGGGAATGCCCATTTAATTCCTAATCACTGATTCATTCTCTGACCAACCTCTGAGAGGTACTTCCCAAAGTTCTCGTGCGAAGCCGTGATCGTTAGAGTCCAACCATGCCGAGCGTAAGGCAAATATTTCTAACTATGGCAATTGGTTACAGTCACGAATTAATTGAAGTTAGAAGTGCAAGTCATTAGATGGCAACTCAACAATCTAAAAGTTAAGCCATCGCCGCGAGGCCCGAAATCTCTGGATTTAAAACCCTAGTTGGGTCACGGACCCACACTAGTGAGGAGTCTTATACTGGAATAATTTAGCTGTCCTTCGACTATCGCTTTTTAACTGTCGTTTAACTTCAGCCAGTCTACGATTAAAAACTACAAAACTCAAAAACTTCCAGAAACCCCACTGTCATACCACACATAATCGATTATTTTCTTTTCGTATGCATTCTATACACTCAATTATAGTTTCCAAGGTAAATTAACCGTTTACTGCAAATAATTAATTAAATACGGGTCAGTTCACGCGTCATTGAACCACATACTGTATACGTGTGTTCAAAGGCTAGTTTTAGGATTCACTTTGCTAAATCAATATAGGTAGATAGGGTAAACGTGTAACCAGTTTTTTTAAAGAGCAAGCAGTTCATTTCCCGAAGTGCTATTCAACCTATTGCTATGATCAAACAATTAATTGGCAAGACTCTCGGTCATAGACCAGGTCGCAGATTTAAATCAGTTGGAATGTCATTGAAAAGCCCGGTCTGTTCAATTTATTTGCTAAGCATAGATTAGTATGCTTAGCTTAGAGCCACACTCTACTTATAAGGGCTAGTGATGTCACCTGGTTACCCAAACCGAATTAGGTGTAGCGGAGTCTGGACCTGCGACTTATTGACTGAGGGTCGAGGGTCTTAACCGCTGTGATACTAGAAATACTGGGTAGCTAACTTGATCGTAATGTGCGAATATTCGGCAGCAGTGCGCGCTACTATTCGCTCGGGTTTGAACCCATATCACCTTAAGGTCTTATAATGAGTGAGTGCATCACCCTTAGACCATTGCAGTCTATAAGTTTTCATGTTCATATCGTCCCAAACTCGAACGAAACATATATGTCTAGTGTTTCTTCGTTGTCACTGATATTATCAACCCACTACTAAGGCCAAAAATTAAAATAAACTGACTATATGTTATAACTTATCAGTAGTTAATGGGTGAATAATGAGAATAAAGGTCAATAAAAAGAATAAATGTTTACACAATCTAACATTTTCATAATTACTATACACTAAGTGATCAATTATTTCTAATAAAATATTTTCTTTTCTCGCCAGAAATCAATCATTTAGAACAGTCAGCCCGATTTGGTGGTAATAACAACAATAGTAATAGTAATAAAGATGGTTATTCTACATTGGATTTATTAAGTGGATCGGCTGTTGGTCCTGTGGCAGAATTGGCCCAACTAGCAGCTACACCATGGTCACAACTATTAGATACAAATCGTGCCAGACAACGTGAATTATTATCAGAATGTGAACGGCATAAAATTGCTATCGACCAAGTGGATACTCATTTAGCTAAAACAAAGTATGTGATTATTTAATACTATTATTATTATTATTATTTTTTACCGCTAATCATCATTGAACTCATTTTATCGGTGCCAAAGATAGTCAACATATTCACAAAAACGAGCTAGAAAAATGAGCCTAAAACCAACTACCTAGCTTAGGGGTCGGGATGGTGGTTAGCAGTGATGTTATTTGATCCTACTCTTTACAGTACCGATGATCTAATAAATATCATGTCTTGTTATAAACTAAGTGAAATTTTCTCCGGACATAAGTTTACATCTTATTTTTAGTTCTCCAATTTGAAAAAGGCATTCGTTTTGTGTTAGAGGATAAAACTGATATATTGAAAGGCACAAACAATCTAGGGATGATCTGGTATAATTAGTTATAATCAACAGACAACCAACGGAGCAAATGTCCATTAGTTCCAACTGCCCACTGCATTAACTAAATGAAAATGGCTCGGAATATTAGTAGTGCCGGTGGTAACGAGACTAGACATGAAGAATATAGTTCGAAAGAAATGAAATCAAGGAATATAAAGTGTCAGACAAAACATTGAAGAGAGAAAAATAAAATGTGCCTGCTCCTTTGCGACCGAGTTTGAGCATTGTCATCTAAGGTTTCCTCCAACCATTGATCACAATTATCGCGTGTACTCCGACTAGGTAGTTTAAACTTACTAACACGATTTAGACGAACATTCACTGACTTCATGGAAGGGTATTGTCTTTGTCTGTTCCTCTCCCACAGCTTTCTTCTGATCTACTTAAACACTAGAGAGCATCAAAGTTGACAGATGATGATTCAGCATACGAAACATTTGTCCCAGGCACCTCAGTCCAAGTAAGCTACACTTCACACATCAGAACGACAGGAAATTAAAGAATTGAATTGGTGATCAAAACATTATTATCATTCATTTTTGCATTGGTTGTTTGGATCTTCTCATTGATGTTTAGGACGAGACGCACATCCTGGATTCCTCTGATAGCCACCATCAACTCCCCTTATCATTATTATAATAAGCGAATGAAAATGAAATATATGAATTAAGATAGTGAATTGAATAACCCTATATAAAACAAAGTGAAAAGAAGTGGGGAGACCAATTTCCAGTGTCTTTTTACTTTCACTCGCAAGTGAAAGTCAGCTGTCGACAGTTTGGTAAACTTATCAAAACAATTGAATCAAGTTCTTAGAGTATGTTTTGTCTCCAATTCTGAGGGACTGAGCTACCACCTATTTTTTTGTTTTCAACAGTATCTCAGGAAAGAACTTTATGTAAACAAATTTCGCTAAGGATATTAGGAGAACTGCTAGGTAGTGACACAACTGTGTTTATGGAAAAACTTAATAAAATATAACAAAAAATCTCATCAACATCTGAAAATACATTTCAGACACATTAGTGAGACTATCAAGCGCATCCTAATTACATGATTTAGTCGATTTCAGGCCTATATAGTTACGTTGATGCTTAGTATGTAATTAAGTCTATATGTCTCCCAATGTTTATCGTTCACTTCATGAGCCTCTTGATTTAAAAAACAAGTCACCATAATGCGTGCCAATAGTCTAGCATCAGATACACAATAACCCTTGCATGACTACTTCGTAAACTACCTTAAACATTGCATTACTTGAAAACAAATTAAACTTATAAATTACTAGATATGGCCATAGATATCTAGTTACCTGTATTCTGCTTTAATTCTAAACCTAACCAACATAAAGTGTAGCTTGTGAATGTAAGATGAAGATCAGGAATAAATAATAACAATAAGTATTATTCAGTTTCGGGGATTTAAAGTTGCTTCATATTCATTTAACTGAATCTCGGATGATCGTATAATCTACATCAATGACACATACTACTTCATTTTCTTTAAATAATAACACGTTACGTCGAAAATCGAGTGGTCCCACAAACAAAGGTAATTGAATATCATTGATCCTACTTATAGCTGCGATCGTACTCGGATAAATAACTTTGTTTAAAACAACACATATCAAATCTACTGACAGTATTACTTAGCGATTTTTTTAGCAGAGTTCTTTTCTACAAGACGATGTTGCTTAGCCCATGCCCAACTCCCCCCTTTATCCGGACTTGGGATCGGCTGTAGCTCTAGAGGTGTCCCAGGCAGAATTCCTAACACAGTATACATTAATCGGATATCTGTCGTGTTTTATAGTATTCAAACTAAGAATTTCACTAGTAACTAAACCTGCTTGTCAAGGCAGAAACTAAAATCAATCCGCAAGGTTACAAAAATTACCTTGTTCACCTTAAAATTTCACTTTAATTTACTACACCTACTACATAATAGGAACATATAACTTGATTTTTCCTCCATTTTCATTTTTATAACGAAAACAGAATGAATTTATCTCAACTAGAAAATCAAATCAGTCAAGAGCTAAATCAATTGCTCAATGAATTGGAAGGATATAATCAACATAGAAGGTTACTACTGAAATCAGCCGGAAGTAGTAGCTCACAACCTCGTCCTAGAACAACTATCAATAACCCATCAGAGGTGGCAAGCGATGGTGTTGCTGTATAAAATAAATGAATTATACTACCGTCATATTATGTCCAAATATTTGAACATAAACACAATAAATATTATCTCATGTAAATTATCTAGTTTCATGAAGGTACAATCTTTTTTTATTTTCATGATAATCTTTTTTCCTAATATACAATATTCTATGCATAAATCCAGTCGTAATGCTGTATTTGTTTACCGATTGATTGATGACCGTCTAGAATAAATGCTTGGGACTATGGTAGGTAGCCTACTACGGACATATGAATCATACTTCTTTTGTTTTCAGTGATTAAGAAGATGTCTCTAGCGAGCAATAGTCTAACAATCACTGAATGGAGTTGACCATAAAAACCTACAGAGAGGGCTGTTGAACGTACTTTACATTCAACAGACGGGAGTTTTTACTGTTTTCCCTATATTTCCGTTTGATGACTTAAACAACCCATCCAAACGTTGTAGTGAATAATTCGAGTGCAACGTAGAACCTGGTACCAGTAGTAAAACAAAAGATTAGCCATCGAAGATACGATCAGAGAAAGCATAAATTTGTGGAAGAAAATTATGAGGAATTCAGAAGCTTAGAGTTTGGAGAAAAATAGAGGATACATGGGACCCACGCCATTTGCAAATGATGTTGGTTCGTATCACTCAAGGCTTTTAACCACCGCAGTAATCACAAGGACCCCAAACAGGTAGTCTACGCATGTTAATGACTCAGTCCAATTGTTAATGATTTCATGGAATAATCCCAAGTTTCGGTCTGGCCACTCTTAGATTTCTTCCAACCTATTCTTACACTAGACAACACCTGTCGAGGTAAGCGGTGGTTAGACATACTTAACACATGTCCCAACTACCTCAGTTGATGGATATCTACTATCTCATCTTTCGATTTGCCATCTTTACATGGTACCCTATTCCTCACTCGGTGGTCGGGAAATACATGAGCAATGCTTCGAAGGCATCTATTATCGAGTACTAGGAATGTTAACATTCTTTATCAGTAGCAAATTTTAAAAAAATCTTGTTTTTGAGAAAGATGGCTCCATGTTGACTGTATATACTGTCACAATTAAATGGGCTAAATAGAGCTGTTAACCGTTTTAACGACACCTTTGCTTAACCACAATAGGTGCTCACGAGCCTGAATATACAAATTGCTAGAACATCTGCCAATATAACTTGCTTCACAGGAGCAGTTGAATTGATAGATACAGAAGGTAAGTGGTTAGTCTAGGCAATTGATCTCTCAACCTCGGAGTGATCATTTGACGTTTGGAAAACATTAATTGTAGTTTACCTGCATTAAAAGTTCTATGGATTGATTTGCGTAACTTCAGTTTTAGCATTTCACCAGGTGCATCACTTCTGAATTGTAAGCGTATATACAAAGGCTTTTTATTCATTGTTAGGCATTTATACTCTCTTTTATTGGCTATGTTTTTATTTATAAATTTCTCCGGATACCTGTTTTCTTTCAGAGTCGTGTACAATGACTTTGTTTCATCTTCGACTGCATCTAGAGAGCATATGGTCTTGATTCTATGATGCAGTGTCTTAATAAGGTTCCTTTTGTATTGCAGAAGAACAAAACTAAGAAAGTTTGTGTACTGGCCTGTCCAAGTAGTTTTCTTGTTTGTTTCTTCATAACGACAAGTCTTTTCTTCTTATAAGCAGAACATCTAGAAAGGCGATTCCACCTCAATTTTCTTACTCACATGTGAATTTTATGGGCGGGTGAACTGTATTGAATCGCTCAAGTGTTTCTATCAAGTCAATATGGTCGTTACAAAGGATAAACGTATCGTTCATATATCTGCAGTAAAATGGAAATCCATAAATCTGTTGTGCCAGTGGACCGTTTTCTAGTTTAGAAAGAAAATTCTCAGCCAATATGAGACTTAGGGGTGAACCCATCGTGACACCATCTATTTTTCCATAGATTTCACCATTGAATTTGAAATGTACATTCATTGTACATTTTAGTAGTAATTCTTTTATCTCCACTGGGATTGTAGTTTCTATATCTTATTCTCTAAGTTGTTCACAAATATATTCTACAGTCTCTCTTAGTGGGACATTTGTAAACAATGACGTTACGTTAAAGGACATCATCGTTTGACCTTTCATGTTTATGTTTTTTTAATCTTGGAATTTATAAGGAACTGTATTGAATCATGTCGTTATGCCAAACTGTTCTATAAGTCATTACGCCGAGATCACGTTCATCCAAATAGAAAAACATTAAAACGCTATGCACTTAATAAAATTGATACATTAAATAATGACTTGACGGATATAGAAGTAAATATTGCTCTCAGGAAATTTGCAGTTGATGAATTAACAGAAGACATTAAGTCCCAGTTTATGGATTACGTCACAGAGATAACTATGGAAAGATCAGACAAGAAACATATACTTCTCAAAATCCTAGAAAATCAAACGGTTGAAAACAAATTTCCAAATAAACTACAGGTATGTGCATAATTTTTCCGGTACTGAATTAAATAAAGAAAAACGTGAAGTATTAGGTCTAAATTTATGTGATATACGAAACCTCGTAAATCATATAGATACGGACATCCAGTCCGAAAACCTAAATCGCCAGATATCAGATCTAGTCCCGACTTCTGATCAGGAACGTTTCAAATCAAACCTAGTTGACTTCTGCCATCAGTTTAGAAATAGTAGATATAACTACAGAAGTATTTTAACTAAAAAACACAAGGGGGCTATCAATGAACTCAGTAATGACGATAATCTGATTATCACATAACCTGATAAAGGAACAGGAACTGTCCAACTTAACAAAAAGGAGTACATTGACAAGATGAATAACATCTTGAAATTTATAAATAAAAACATAGCCAATAAAAGAGAGTATAAACAATGCCTAACAATGAATAAAAAGCCTTTGTATATACGCTTACAATTCAGAAGTGATGCACCTGGTGAAATGCTAAAACTGAAGTTACGCAAATCAATCCATAGAACTTTTAATGCAGGTAAACTACAATTAATGTTTTCCAAACGTCAAATGATCACTCCGAGGTTGAGAGATCAATTGCCTAGACTAACCACTTACCTTCTGTATCTATCAATTCAACTGCTCCTGTGAAGCAAGTTATATTGGCAGATGTTCTAGCAATTTGTATATTCGGGCTCGTGAGCACCTATTGTGGTTAAGCAAAGGTGTCGTTAAAACGGTTAACAGCTCTATTTTAGCCCATTTAATCTTATTTTTCTTTATTGTCCAATAACAATTAAAATCTCCAATTTTTTTCAAAATTTCTGATAAGCAACACATCGTCATTACATATAACTGTGAAAATAAATATACACATTATTTTATCAAAGATGACAAACGTGTACACTTCCTCGTTCTCTGAAAGGACGCACAAGGTAAATCAAGCTAATTTAACCACAAACTGTCCTACAATAAATGTACTGATGACTGTTTGTGATTAGTAGCTGATTAGTAATATCAGAGCCTTAGAGCGCGATTCAGAGAATAAGGATTTCACGTTGTTTACACCATGAAGTTATAATAACAATGATAATAATGAAAAACAAAATGTTGGAGCAAATCATACCAGGAATTAGTTTAGCAGTCATATACAGTATTCCCGGTGGAAAAAAAATCAAATTAGCAAACTGCTTGTTTATTTACAGCAACATTAACACGCAAGAGAATGTCCTGATTAGTTCCGTGTCTACCAAATGATCAAGAAGAAAATTAACTTGCAGTGTAACAAAATCTAAGTTGGATATTCTCTCAAAGTCACATATGACCTGACACGTATATTTATGGATATGACTCTTTGAAATCTACACAGAATAAAAGGCATGCGAAAATAAATGAACTGTTTAACCCATTAATAATCAGCTAACTATTCTTACGTAACCGAGTCTCAGTGGCTCATACTCCTGAACGAAAGAAACATGCCTCCCCCTGATGACTCCTAAATGCCTAAACTCCACAACCGTGGGGGGGGCTAGTTAATTCTCACTACATCCCCAGATGAAACTACGCCAGGGTATTAGCATCGCTGCTATTTCTTTTAGTTATTTTTGGTCTACCTATTTGACTGCGTAATCGCAACTTCAAAAGGGTACATAAAAATGCTAACACTATCATACGTCCTCATAAACACCTACCAGTAAGTTTACCATCCTGGTCTCCTCAAAATAAACGAACAGTATCATCTGGAATGTTGGCTGCCACATTCGAGCAATTCATCGCTATCACATTAGGTATAATTGACATACGATCTTATTCTGTAGCTATCAAACTGCAGAGTCGCATCAAGAAAATACTTAACTTTATAGCTTTTCCAACCACTTCTATGTATAAAAGGATCTCAAGAATAACTGTTCTGGCTCTGCCTATCCGATATGCTAGGTTATAAAAAATTTTGCTGCTAGGCTATGTACTATATAGTAAGCGAGTGCATATTCATTTAATACTACAACTGGTTTGCACTTGACACTGCAACTTGTCTATTTAAGTTTATCGCACATATTTGAACATATATAGAATAGGTAAAAATAGTAAGTCGAACACTTCATTATTGGTTACGTATCCAGCTACAGACGACAAGTCAATGATCCTCCGATTTAGTATATTAAACTAATATTCCGGACGTTAACTGTGATAGGTATCATTACCAAGTTTTTACTTGATAATTTCGAATAAATTGAGCATTGGGTAGATTGTTATAAATCAATTAATTAATATATTTGTAATATCCCTATGGCTACGAAAACCAAATTTTATGACGTTTCGTTACTCAGTGTGAGCCACTTCTTCAGAGAATAAATAACATATATTAATTTGTTAACTGAGATATTTTATCTGACTACTAGGTAGTGCCGATTGGTTTAAAGATAAGCAAAATTAGAACTTATTCAAAACTGCGTGAAAAGTGAGCAAATCTACTATTTCTGCAAAATACGTCTCGCCAGTTAGACAAATATCTGCTTAAATAGCTCCCCGGTAATACCTCTGAATGTGACACTGATATGAATCCGAACCAATCAGATAATGTTAGCTCATCCACAATCGAAGACTTCAGGTACGCATTAGTGATCACAATCAGCTACACAGGGCGTAAATTCGGAGTCATCTGCAAATAGCCTCTAACTACATTACACTCATTAAAGTGTAT